TCACACTTTGATAACATTGGGTGAGACTACAATATAAGCCAAAGTGGTTTAAACTTTACATGGGGCCTTTAATTATATAAGTCTGAATATATTATGTTTATATACACATCAAGTATAAGTCTTAATTATATAGAAGTCTGAATATCTCATTGTCTATATACCTCATTGTCTATATACACATCAAGTATAAGTCTTAATTATATAGAAGTCTGAATATCTCATTGTCTATATACCTCATTGTCTATATACACATCAAGTATAAGTCTTAATTATATAGAAGTCTAAATATCTCATTGTCTATATACCCATCAAGTATATGTGTTAATTATATAGAAGTCTGAATATATTTGAATATTTATCCTATAAATAGGTTTTGATAGGTATACTGATTGTAAGCGTTCATGCATGGAGTGGGTTGGCTCACGGCCAGGCCAGATCAATTGAATTCATTCAGTCAAAATATGATCGATTGAGCAGGACGTTTCGGATTTTATGTAGTCAATTTTATACGTTTTAATTATTTATTACAAATTATGACTTTACAAGACACACAAGAACAAGGTAGACGCTGCACACAATGCAAGGAACTAGTTCGTGGACATAAAGGTCCCATAGGACCAAAATGTTCAAATTTAGACGTGAAAGCCGAGGCCGAGCTGCCACGCCCAGAACCGGTTTCCACGGCCGATACAAAACAAGACATTCCAGGATGGCAACTTGCTTTGATGGAAGTGTCTCAACAGATATCTGGACTAATTGCGGTTACGAAGGACTTGCAAGTCGAACAAAATAACACGAGGGAACAAGTTGTGCGCATAACAAAAGAATTGGGGGAGATAAAAATTCAAACTCAGCGACAAGCCACACCCATTGAACAAAGATCGACCGCCGTGGATCAAACATCAGCCGGGGAACAGAACTCCATCTCCGATACGGCAACAGCAACACATGACACGACAAACGTATTAAACGTCCCGGTTCCAGAAAAAGTCATAAAAACCATAAAGAACGGTGAGTTTGTTCAAATGATTGACATTTTACCCGCCAATTTACTGCACGACCATCATGAAAATCCCGATCCGATATTGTCACTTGAAAATGGCCAACTGCGACAAAAACAAACCAGAAAAATCAAAATAATTGAAAATTTCTCCCAATGGCTGAGCGCCTGGAATATTTTGAGGCTATCATTGTACAAAATGCACCACACACCTATCCTGGATTATGTACATATCGAAATATCATCCAAGAAGTCGACGCCAAATTCAAGTGGAACGCCGTCAACGCCTATGACGTCAAATATAGAAGCAAATTATCACAAACAAAAAGTCAACATTTCGGGAATATTGACACACAACTATACGTGACAACGTTCGACTCGACAGCTGTAAAGCAACACATCATCAAATGTTATCGCTGTGCAGGAGATCATAAGGTCTCCAATTGCCCGTTTCAAGCGGGGACCACGGTGGCGACGTCGTCGGCGCCGTCTACGACAACAACAACAACATACAGCAAGGATAAGATTAAAAACGAAATCTGCAATAAATATCAACATGGAGAATGTAAATATGGATCACAGTGCTTCAGAATTCACAAATGCCAAGGTTGTGGGGCAAGTGATATCCCAAAATACAAATGTAATAAAAAGTGCATTGGAGGAAATTAAGCCCTACAAACCATTGTGCCCAATAGCTTTAGCCCACGGGTTAAGAAATCACCCCGACAAAAATTTTGTAAATTATATTGTTGAAAATGCCACACATGGTGTTAAACTTGGGTACAATGGTCCAAGGGAATTCCATATTCATGGAAATTGGAAATCAGCATTAGACAATAGCGAAGCCATACAACAAAACATCGATAAAGAAATGTCCAAAGGAAGGAAAGTAGCATTCAGTTCTATACCGTGTGAAAAGTACGTCGGATCTCCGATGGGTGCATATGCAAAAAAGCACTCAAACCCTACAAAATATCGCATTATACACGACCTCTCATGGCCCCCAGGGAAATCCGTGAACGAATTTATTTCCAAAGAAGAATGTGGATGCCATTACATAAGTATCGATACTGCAATTAATTTAGTGAAACAATGTGGAAGATCAGCGCTAATGAGCAAGCTGGATTTAGCTGACGCGTTCAAATTTATTCCAGTACATAAATCTGATTGGGAACTCCTTGGAACAACGTGGGAAACACGAAATGACATCACGGGCGAGAACGTCACGACATATTACATTGACTTAGTTCTACCGTTTGGCGCACGCAGCTCGCCAAAATTGTTTAGCGAATTTGCAGACGCCTTGGAATTTATAATGCGACAAAATGGTGCAACAGTATGTCCCCATTATTTAGATGATTACTTCACATGTGGACCTAGAAACAGTGACGTATGTAAGAATAATCTCGATATAATGGTACAGACATGTGCCGACGTTGGCTTCAGCATCAATCCGTCGAAACTCGTACAACCGTGCACCTCCATAGAATTTCTTGGACTTATCATAGATTCGAACAAATTTGAAATCCAAATTCCGCAAGATAAGCTCCAAGACATCACAACAGATTTGAAAAAATGGCTCTTCAGGAAAAGAGCATCAAAGCGACAAATATTATCTCTGATAGGTAAACTGACGTTCATTTGCCGAGTCATATACGCAGGAAAACTGTTTTGGAGAAGGATCATTGATCTTTCAACAAAGTTAAAACACTTACATCACAAGATGAAAATCAACAATTCTTTCAGATCGGACATATCTTGGTGGTTAAGCCACCTACCCTCATGGGGAGGAACTAGTTTATTTTTCGACGACGAATGGACGCCGAGTTCCAGGCTTCAATTGTTCACAGACGCTTGCGCTAATTCATATGGTGCATTCTTTAACGGCAAATTTACATATGGAATCTTCACGGACGAACACGCCAAACGTAGCATCGCATTTAAAGAACTTTTTGCTATAGTGACTGCAATGGCGACATGGGGAAATGAACTTTCTCAGAAAAAAATAATCATACACTGCGATAATGAAGCAATTGTTCACGTTGTCAACAAAGGAGCATGTAGAGACAAACATTTAATGGCGTTAGTGAGATCGCTATTTTATTACAATGCCATACATCAAAGTACATGTTGCTCAATGTACAATAAAGGAACAGAAAATGGAATCGCTGACAGTATCAGTAGATTAGACTTTGAGCGATTTGATAAACTTGTTAAAACAAAAACACAATTTACGCAACCACAAGAAATCAAACTATTTTATTGATTAAACGTATATTGAGTGTAAAGTAATTTGTATACATGTGGTCAGTTACTTTCATCAGCATATGTACACTTCAGAGATCTGATATTGTTTAATTACAAGTGTTTTACTGTACATACGTTGTTTAATTTTGATTTTAATGTATTAATTTGGTCAAATTCTGATTGCAGGATCTGAGCTTGAGAGACTGGTCAAGAAATCAGATTTACTCATAAAAAATGGACTTCAAATGTCAACACAAAAAACGTATCTGGCAGGTCAGAAAAGTTTCATAAATTTCTGTGATCGTTTTTCACTTGAATATTGCCCAGCCTCTCAAACATCTATCTTGGCTTATATAGCAGATTGTGACGAACGAAATCTTAGACATGGTACCATTGTTAATTACCTTTATGCTATTCGATCAATGCATCTAGAAAACGGTCATGGTGACATTTTAAAAGATAACTTTTCAGTCAAGAGAGCATTGAAAGCTATTCATACAAAACAAGATAATACATGTAATCAAAAACTGGCTATAGACCATCAAATTATGAAATCTTTAGAAACTCTTCATAGAAGTAAAATACATGATACCATAGTTATGTGGTCAGCAATGACTCTAGCATTCTTCGGGTTATTCAGGTGTAACGAAATCACTATACCAGATAATTCAAAGTTCTGTCCTAATAAGAACATGACTACCAATGACATCTCATTTCACAAAGGTGTAAATGGAACTTTTATGAAAGTAATCTTAAAACAATCAAAAACTGATACAATTGGAACCGGAGTTCAAGTGATAATTGGATGTACAGAAACAAACGTATGCGCAGTATGGGCCATGAAGAACAACCTGTCACTTTTCAGTGAAAATAAAAAAGATACACCGTTATTCGTTCTGAACAATGGTTCAATTCTATCACGCCAAGTCTTTGTCAGTCATACTAGAAAGTGTCTATCAATAATAGGTATTGATCCTAAAAAATGCAGTGGACATAGCTATAGAATTGGAGGTGCTACGTCAGGGGCAAAACGCCCAATTCGAAGAATGGGAGTTAAAAGTGTTGGGAAGGTGGTCAAGTGACTGCTATAAGAGGTACATAAGAACGCCCATCGAGGTGTTAGCTAATTTCTCAAAACGATTGATACAGCAGTAGTTATTAGGCAATAGTATTAATAAAAGCGTAATGTAATGACTTCTACGTCCAGGTCGTGTTGGGCGCTTTTGGGTGGTTATTATTTTATAAAATAAGAATTGGAATAAATGATCGTCCATTTTAGCCCAACACGACTTGTTCTGTCATTTGATTATTGCGTTGGTGATTAAAGAAAAACTATTAATGAATATTTATCCTATAAATAGGTTTTAATAGGTATACTGATTGTAAGCGTTCATGCATGGAGTGGGTTGGCTCACGTCCAGGCCAGATCAATTGAATTCATTCAGTCAAAATATGATCGACCACACCCACCCACCCATTGTTATGGTTTAATTGTATGTATATAAGTATTATAATTGTATTTTATAAGAAAACACAAATATCAAAAAAAATTGTTTATAATTGATTCAAGTTATTTAATTTTACTAAGGGCGGTTATTATTTTATAAAATAAGAATTGGAATAAATGATCGTCCATTTTAGCCCAACACGACTTGTTCTGTCATTTGATTATTGCGTTGGTGATTAAAGAAAAACTATTAAATGTTTATATACACATCAAGTTTAAGTATTAATTATATAGAAGTCTGAATAACTCATTGTCTATATTCACATCAAGTATAAGTGTTTATTATGTAGAAGTTTGACTACATCATTGTCTATATATACATCAAGTATATGTATTAACTATTGTATTATCTTTAATAGAAGCGCACACTCCAATAAACGTACACCAAACTTTTCCAAGAAAGACTAGCAACTTGAAAAACAAAAATCAAGAAAAAATACAATTTATTCGAGCGGGCGCTAATAGGGTATTATATACATGAAGTCTAAGTGTTAACTATAAGAGATCTCGAAGTATCTCCTCATCTCCATCATTGTTCATGTACAGAAATCGATTATTATCTTCTCCTCTGAATCTAGGTTCCCCTAAAGCATCCTGCAGCTTCCTCCAGAACAGCAATTTTCTGTCCTCTTCTTCACTCCACACCAGGTACACTCTTGTATCAAGTAGAGAGCGCAGTGTTGGTGTGATCAGCTCTTGGGGTAGCAACTCTTCTGGCTCTTTGAGAATCAAGATCAAGCAGTCCCGTCCCCTGGTGGCCAGCTCACCCCTTGCCAGATTCATTTCAAATTTACACCAGCCACTTCTAAGGAAATTCTGGCTGATAACCAGTATGATTTTGTTGCTCTTGCTGATACTCTCAACAATAATGTCAGATAAATATGATCCAGGTCTGAAGTTACGGTCATCCACACAAATGTTGTATCCATACTGACCAGCTAACTGACGATAAATTTTATTTATAGCCCAGGTTTTGTCCAAAGAACTGTAGCTTATAAATGCATCAAAATCAAAGTTGATGTCTAGCAACTCCTTGCGTCTCAGTAATGCCCTCAAATGTAGAGCTATGTAAATGATCTTATACCTTCGCTTATATCCATATATAACAATTCCAACAATCAACAAAACAAATCCAACTGATGTCCCAGATGCAATAATAACACTTTTCCAGCACTCAATTTTCATATAAGATACATCCAAGTGTGTGAACTTAATCTGTGACCCATTAATATAATGACATTCTAGATGAGAACCTTGGTAGATGATGTCAATGTGATTCCGAATCCAATTTATGAATGGGATTGAATCACAGTCACATATTAATGGGTTGCCATTAAGGTCAACAGTAAACTTGCCATTTGACCTCTCATTTGCAGCAGCGATATAATATCTTGCAGGTTCGTTGAGACCATGGAGATTGTTATTTGATATATTCAGCAATTTCAGGGAGATTTGTGTAGTTAAGTGTATATTAAAGTTGACTAACTTATTTCCACTCAGATCCACAATCTCTGCAGAAGGAACATCCTTAAGAATATCATAAGGAATGTCTGCCAAGTTATTGTATGATAGGTCTAAATGTAGCAACTTTGAACAGTTCTCAAACAGTGAAAAATTGGAGCTTGGTTTAAACAACTGGACTCTGTTGTAGGCTAAATTTAGAACTTGTAAACTTTCAAAATAGCCATTTGCACAAGTGAAAAATTCAGGTTCAATTTTACAATCATTGTTGTTGTAAATGAAATGCTGTAGATTAACCAATCCTTTCAAAGGACCCCCAAAGTAGATCACAGCATTGGTGTAAGCAGCATTAAGAACCTTCAGCTTGTTTTCTCGTTGGAACTTAAATTCACAGGGAACTGATGCCGGTTGATTATCAAGTGAAGTCCACTTAAGATCAAGTTCTTCAAGTCCAATTGGTAATGGCCATTCTGTATCTACACAATTGTGGATCCGGGGATGATCAAGGTCTTTAAAAACCCTTCTGTTTGAATAACCTAATCTTATCACTCTCAAATGAATCATTTTAAATAACTGAATAACATCTGAAAAAGGAATAAATGCTCCTATCATGTTTTTTGTTAAATCGAGTATTTCCAGTTTTGGGAGATAATTTAGAAAGCCTGTTTCTATTGCAGATATCTTATTGTCAGACAAATATAATTCTTTCAGTTGGCAGTTTTTTAAATATGTGAAACTTTTTTCTCTTAATATAAATGGAATTGATGAGATGTGTTCGTAAGTTATTTTCTCAATGGTTGAGTTTTGAAGTCCTTTGAATGCGTCGAGCCAAGCATCTCTCAGAATTGGTGATGTACTTCTTCTATTTCCATACACCTCAATGATTTGGATATTCCTTAACGGCTTGAATACAAGAGGATGTACCATTGCATCTTTTCCAATGTAAAGCTTCTGAAGTTTGTCAAGTCCTTCAAATACATTTTCATGGAGATGCAACGCTGGAGAGTTGTATTGTATGTCCAAAGTCTGTAAATTTTTATAATATCTACCCAAGAAATAGTCGGGTAGCTTTCTTATACGGTTCCTGGATAAATTCAGCATTGTTATATTTTCTGGGAGATCCAAAGGTAGCGAATCAATATTCCTATTACTACAGTCTGCAATCTGCAAAGTACAGTTGCACTCCTGACACTGTTGATTTCTGATCTCTGTGTTTGCACTTGTTTCATTGTATTGGACCTCATATAATTCCATATTCCCTGATTCGGCAACCCATCCTTTCACATTCATGAAACCAACTGCCAGAAAAAACAGCATCAATGTCATTCTTTCCATCATAAATGAGTTATGACTATCTGTTGTTATCTAATACAATTATTCACTAGTACATTCTATAGTACAGTTATCTACTGGTATGTTACACAGTTATCCACAAGTATATTGTACATTACAGTTATCTACTGGTATGTTACACAGTTATCCACTGGTATATTGTACAGTTATCCAATGATATGTAGTACATTTATCCCCTGGTATGTTACACTGTTATCCATTGGTACATACTACAGTTGTCCAATGAAATTTAATACAGTTATCAAGTGGTATGTTACATGTAGTTATCCACTGGTACATACAACAATTATCCAATGGTATGAACTAGTTATTCACTGGTATCAGTTATCTGCTGGTAAAGTGTCTCATAAATTATCAACTAAATCATTCCAACAAATATGTAATAAACCGTCAACATTTAAAATGCTTTTTATGTCCATACATCAACCAGGAAGTTTATTCATACCAAATTTGTATTGAGTCACCACATAAAACACAAATTTTCTCATTGAGTTGTGTATTCTAAAAGTCTTTGACATAAACACAATATAATAGGGTTGTTGTAAATCCAAACAGAGTCCCTATACAGACTAGTACTTGTTTTGGTTATTTTCAAAAATGATTTTGCTTATCTACAATATCCCTATACAGACCATTCTGATACTCATAGCATCTTTCTGTTTCACCTGAAACATGCTCTGATATTATGAGGCATATTCTGTGATCTGAGCAAATCAGATGGGAAAAGTTATAACTGTCAATAAGTGTGATTGTTATCATGTAATTATCTACCTTAATGTCAATACATTACATAATAGGCATTGTATTTAACAGCAGATATTACAACAGGCACAGTTACACAAGTTTAATGACCCCAATTAGATGAAATATGAGCTGGGATGAAAGATCTCAAAAATCCTCAATTTTGGGCTCTCCTGGATCGCCAAATCAAGCTCATTATATCATGGCATCTCAGGGCTGAGAAGATTTGAGATGGCATGGTTTATCATGATGTATACAGACTAGCACTTGTCTTGGTTATTTTCAAAAATGATTTTGCTTATCTGCAATATCCCTATACAGACTAGTACTTGTCTTGGTTATTTTCAAAAATGATTTTGCTTATCTGCAATATCCTTATACAGACTAGCACTTGTCTTGGTTATTTTCAAAAATAATTTTGCTTATCTGCAATATCCCTATACAGACTAGCACTTGTCTTGGTTATTTTCAAAAATGATTTTGCTTATCTGCAATATCCCTATACAGACTAGTACTTGTCTTGGTTATTTTCAAAAATGATTTTGCTTATCTGCAATATCCCTATACAGACTAGTACTTGTCTTGGTTATTTTCAAAAATGATTTTGCTTATCTGCAATATCCCTATACAGACTAGCACTTGTCTTGGTTATTTTCAAAAATAATTTTGCTTATCTGCAATATCCCTATACAGACTAGCACTTGTCTTGGTTATTTTCAAAAATGATTTTGCTTATCTGCAATATCCCTATACAGACTAGTACTTGTCTTGGTTATTTTCAAAAATGATTTTGCTTATCTGCAATATCCCTATACAGACTAGTACTTGTCTTGGTTATTTTCAAAAATAATTTTGCTTATCTGCAATATCCCTATACAGACTAGTACTTGTCTTGGTTATTTTCAAAATTTATTTTGCTTATCTGCAAATTAAGAACTTTTAATGTTATGAATTTTAAAGAATTTGCTCCTCATATCCAATTTATGAAACAAACACTATAGGGGATTCAATTGTTAGCAGCCAGGATTGTTGAACTTTGTGTCATGTTTAGTGTCCGTAAATTTTACTTCGTGAAAAACAATAGGTTATCAACCTATAAAGGTAAGTATTCAGTTCATGCTCAAAAATAAATTTTGAAAATTACAGTGTCAATTTACAGTAGCCAAGTGTGTATCAGGAAGTTGCAACAACCCTTAAACTGGCTTAAAATTAAAGAAACTGAAATGACCTCATAATCAGACTAAATATTTTTTGGCTTCCTTCAAATTTAGTTTTATGTATGTTTGGTACAATATTTATGTTAAGCTAGGTATACATGTATCAATTGGTTTACCAAACAGATTAATGTTACAGACACCTTGACCTTGAATAATTCTAGAACGCTGCAACTCCAGTAGCGAATCCCAAAACAAATCATATTTTATAAATACTTACTGTACCTATTCATTTTGGACATTACATGATAAAAATGACCAGGAAGTAGTAGAGTTGTGTAGTCTCATTTTGGCAAAATCTACTCCAATAACGTGACCTGTCAAGGATTGATATTATATTAAATCTCGGAACATATTTATATATACATTTTAATAAAGCAATGACTTGGAATTAAACAGTCAATTTCAAATAATGGTGGCCATTTTGAAAAGAATGGTCATCTTGAAAATTCCTTCTGCAGCAGAGTCCTAAATCCCTCAAGCATCAGCATGAAACATATCTGTCAACTGGTATTACATTTTTTATGAAAATGAGGGACATTTTGAAATGAGTGACAGAAATTGCTTGACCCAATTCCATAAGTTGTATTTAAGTTTAATAATAAGTATAATAAGTATTAATAATAAGTATTAGTATTAATAATTATATAGAAGTCTGAATAACTCATTGTCTATATACACATCAAGTATATGTGTTAATTATATAGAAGTCTGAATAACTCATTGTCTATATTCACAAAGTATATGTCTTAATTATATAGAAGTCTGAATATATTATGTTTATATACATACCAAGTATAAGTATTAATTATATAGAAGTCTGAATATCTCATTGTCTATATAAACATCAAGTATATGTGTTAATTATATAGAAGTCTAAATATCTCATTGTCTATATTCACATCAAGTATAAGTATTAATTATATAGAAGTCTTTAATAACTCATTGTCTATATTCACAAAGTATGTGTCTTAATTATATAGAAGTCTGAATATATTATGTTTATATACACATGAAGTATAAGTATTAATTATTAGTCTATATATAGAAGTCTGAATAACTCATTGTCTATATTCACATCAAGTATAAGTGTTTATTATGTAGACGTTTGACTATACCATTGTCTATATATACACTGTTGCTCATAAATATGGAATATTTTATAGATTCGAACTGTTTGATGGAATTTCTACAAAATTATAGCATTTTGATGAAAATTTGTAATGTGTTCTCGTTCCCTCATCAGTTTTGCATATAAAACTGATTGGTATGAAAAGTTAAAACATTTATGGTTGATTAAACTTGTATTCACTCAGGTGACCCCATGACCTCATGATTTTGGAAACTTGAATAAGGTGTCCAAATCGTAGTTTTAATCATTGTGCACATTTTATATACATTTAATTTAGAGTCGGAAGAGTTTTTAAAAAGCATGCCCCATAGAATGAGCGAAAAAGAGCATGGCATGTCATAGGGATGGCGCTCTCTGGCATGAAACAAACTGCCATTGCCAGGACCCTAGGAGTGTGTCAGGAACACCCTTATAAAAAAGTCAACCTTGAAAGTCCGAATTTAAACCGTTTCCATCAATCATTGAATACTGATTGTTTCAACTACTAAGATCAAAGGAAAAACCATTGTAGGGTGATAAGCAATCATTGTGCAACCATTGCGCTCAACCAAACAAAGTCAACTCTTTTTCAATGACTGCGCAACCATTTCTATACAATCATTGTAATCTGCAACCATTGTAAACTGCAACCATTTCACATTGAAATGTAAATGGTTGCAATACGTTTTGTTCAATGATTACATAGTTCAAGCCCTGCAACCATCCTGAATTAGTATCGTTCCAAAAAATAATCATTTTACTTGAATTAAAATTATCTTTAAGTAAGGATTTGAATCTACCTCTATTCAACAACAGTATATTAGGATATTTTTTTTCTGCAAGCATACATGCATGTTTATTATAGTGAATTACTAAATTCATGTTCATATGTTTCTTTCTCCAGTACGGATTTAGGAATGCGATACCAGACTAGTTTTCCACTCAATGGCATATGATAATTTATGTTCTCTGTCATTTACATTGTTTACACAATTAAAAGTACCATATCTAGTGTTTATCTCCCGTTATCTGATATTGCCAAAATAATTTATTTTTAATGTTAATTATGAAAAGAATTGAGCAAAATTCCAATTTGGTTAAGAAATTGACCAAGGAAAATCTTAAGATTTCCTTTAAACTTAACAAAATCACAAGATGAGACACCATTGTTTTTGTTCATGATTAGACTGATATACATGTATGATCAAAAGAAGCAGGGTATGATGTACAAAATAATACAAACATGTAATCACAAGTTGATTGCTTTAATTAGTGAAAATGTTTTTATAGTAATAATGCATTCAGGCACCAAAGACTTAATTTTCACAGTTTCAATAGAAAACATCTGAATCAATAATTTCAGTAAAATTTTGTCAAGGTAGATGGATTATGCTATACCCATGATATACAAATAGATTGGTTTGGGAACATATTGATATCGGAGGGTTTAGCTCAGGACCCCCGCAAAAGTTTATATACAATGAACGGGCCAGTAGTCAGCCCCCCCAGCAAAATGGGTCTTCAAATGTATCCATGTGTAGTTAACACCAAATATCAAGAGTATGACTCACTAAAATTTAAAAAATACAAACAAGAGGACTATTTTGATATTGACTGTATATTATGTGTGAAACACATTATTCACAACAGATTTAATTACCATGTTCTTTCTTAACAAATATTTTTTATAACAATGCTCAACACAACAATACCTACTACATATTGATATTCTCATGGGTTTAAGAAAATCAAAATGCTTGAACAGCCAATTAAAACGGTTGAACAGCTAATTAAAACGGTTGAACAGCTAATTAAAACGGTTGAACGGCTAATAAAAATGCTTGACCAGAAAAAAGGTTCATAGCCCTAGTTTCTGTTATATCTATTTTCATCTTGTATTATACTATATATTTATTTTAATTATCTATTTCATGCAGAGGGGGGGGGAGTTAAAATTTAAAAAGTGTTTTCAGATTTTTGAGGGTTTATTTCTTAATTGAATTACTTCAATAAGTGCTGAGAAATCTCAAATAGCAAGTATATGAAACTGCAAATAATATTTTCAGAATTTTTTATTTCATTTTTATTTAGTTTGTTTTACCATAGGCATTCAATAGATTGAAAGTCCATGGTTTTACTTTATTCACTAGGGCAGAGCATTTGTACTGAAAAGTGTTTTCAGTTTAAATGATATGTGTTGATGATTAAAAAATAAAAACCAAAAACAGGGCTTATTTTTCAAAACTCTAAACTTGGAAAAATCTGGAGGAAAATATGGGAGATTTTCTTTGGCAAATTATTTATCAAGTTCTGTGTATGGAATTTCCTTTATAGCAGACTCTAATCAAACTGATATAATAAGGTTTGTTTTGCCTTGCCGAATTATTTTTGTTTTGTTTATGGATTAATGGATTAATAAAGTTTCTTTAGACACATCCTTCAAAGCAGACTCTAATCAAACTAGATAGACTGAGTCTAACTGTAATCAGAGTTTTTTAAGTTATGCTTATCGACTTAATTATTTAAAACACATCCTGTAATGTCTGATTGCATTTTCTCTATCAAATCAAAAATATCAAATCAAAACAGATTATTTTCCCATTGAAGGATTTCTTCCTTCCAGACACATCTTCCTTCCTTTATAATTGCGATGATTGCAAGGTGAAGTGTAAAATCCAAGACTTGACCAAATCAAATTTTTTTCAAATGATTTTGCAATAACTTAAAAAGTAGTGAAGTGATTTTGTAAAAATTATAGTCATGACAGCAAGGGGGATTTGCTATGCCTAAGCATTGCTGTTATCTAGATAATATACATGTGAGTGGGACAATCACCATCCTTCAAAGTTAGATGAAAATTGGTTCAATATATTTTCATTCACAAGACAAGTTTACTTAACTATTTCAATAATTTAAATATCTTTTTGATCAAACCATTTAAATTCTGACATGTACAGTATGCATGAAATACACACATTAGAAATATATTTTTTAAAGAGCAAGATAATAATTATTTTATGTTGTATTGAGATAAAATTGCCATAGTTTTAAAGGGTTGCATTCGATTGAAACGGTTGCAAGAAATGCAACCAAAATTGTCAAGCGTTTACAATGATTATATATGATTGAAACATTTCAATGAGTTTACAACCAAAATTGTAATGGTTGCATCGTAACGGTTGGCATGGTTGCATAAATGATCGGATCAATAATTGTACAATGATTGTGCAACGGTTTAAATTCGGACTTTCAAGGTTGAATTTTTTATAAGGGCAGTGAGTCTCTAAAATTTTGCAGTGGTAGCAAAGGCACTGGAATATGACTCCAGATCACAGCAATAGTTGCCCTAGAGAGAAAAATGTAAGAAAAGACCACCACCTGCTGCATTTATGTCATCAAAATCGCTTTAAGTCAACCAGTAGTCTACGAGATGAATGGCTGTCTCACCTCAAAACCCGTGTTCCAGAGCTAAAGACAACCAGTGATTACTTTATAACGGACGCAAGGCCATGAGACCTTTAAAGAGACCACAGCTAACTGATCATAACAAACCGTTGGACCTAATCTTTGGTGTAATATGACAGCATGTGAAGAAATAAGATGTGTCCTCCACAAAGTTGATAATTGTGTTCGTTTCTGTCGTAGACCAGGGGAAAGAGACAATAAGGACACTTACTGATGTGGCAGTCCATGAAAGTAACCCTATTTATGTTTGGAGCAGTATTACAGAGGTTGTTTGGAGCAGTACTACAGAAATTGCATCCCCTTTGGTGATTCCCAAACATAATTTCAGAGTATATTGACCTTTTGGACCTCCATCAAGTACCAGATGTAAACAGATTGTTTTGGGGCAACATTCAACTGCAGAATGATCATGCTGTTGCATATGCTAGTGGCATCGTGCTGGATTACATCAGGGCAGGCAATGTGGACCAGCTACCATGGGCACAAAAGTCAGCCAATCAGGCTAATGCAGAGCAAATGTGGGATGACCTTGGTAATGAGATTCGTGACTTGGACCCCCACCTCAAAATTTAGACACGTTGACGCACTGCCAAGATTGAGGAATGGGGCCTTATTTCACTTTGACAAGTCCGATGTTTCATTCAATGCTGGTCCCGTAGGGTTGATGCTCTGATTGCAGCACAAAGAGGACATAACACATATCAGTGCTTTCATTGGATAGAGGACACTTCAATCTTCATGACCAGATGTTTATTTTGTTTGATCTGTTTTACATGACGATTTGGATCGGGGTGTTTTGAAAATGCAAAAATTCTTAGCGTACCCCTGTTTAACTAACGGTAATTTTCTAAACTTAAATGCAAATATTTTTTTTCTAAATAATGTTGATTTGTAGGTGAAATATGTGGTTATGATTTGCCTAGAACATAAATGTCTGAGCCAACTCCAAATAAAACTTCTCGTACTCTAAACTTTGAATTCTGAGCTGCCAAATCTAATATTCCATATTTATGAGCAACAGTGTACATCAAGTATATGTATTAACTATCGTATTATCTTTAATAGAAGCGCACACTCCAATAAACGTACACCAAACTTTTCCAAGAAAGACTAGCAACTTGAAAAACAAAATCAAGAAAAAATACAATTTATTCAAGCAGGCGCTAATAGGGTAACATATACATGAAGCCTACGTGTTAACTATAAGAGATCTCGAAGTATCTCCTCATCTCCATCATTGTTCATATACAGATATCGATTATTATCTTCTCCTCTGAATCTAGGTTCCCCTAAAGCATCCTGCAGCTTCCTCCAGAACAGCAATTTTCTGTCCTCTTCTTCACTCCACACTAGGTACACCCTTGTATCAAGTAGGGAACGCAGTGTTGGTGTGATCAGCTCTGGGGGAAGCAACTCTTCTGGCTCTTTGAGAATCAAGATCAGACAATCACGTCCCCTTGTTGCCAGCTCACCCCTTGCCAGATTCATTTCAAATTTACACCAGCCACTTCTAAGGAAATTCTGGCTGATAACCAGTATGATTTTGTTGCTCTTGCTGATACTCTCCACGATAATGTCAGATAAATATGATCCAGGTCTGAAGTTACGGTCATCCACGCAAATGTTGTATCCATACTGACCAGCTAACTGACGATAAATTTTATTTATAGCCCAGGTTTTGTCCAAAGAACTGTAGCTTATAAATGCATCAAAATCAAAGTTGATGTCTAGCAACTCCTTGCGTCTCAGTAATGCCCTCAAATGTAGAGCTATGTAAATGATCTTATACCTTCGCTTATATCCATATATAACAATTCCAACAATCAACAAAACAAATCCAACTGATGTCCCAGATGCAATAATAACACTTTTCCAGCACTCAATTTTCATATAAGATACATCCAAGTGTGTGAACTTAATCTGTGATCCATTAATATAATGACATTCTAGATGAGAACCTTGGTAGATGATGTCAATGTGATTCCGAATCCAATTTATGAATGGGATTGAATCACAGTCACATATTAATGGGTTGCCATTAAGGTCAACAGTAAACTTGCCATTTGACCTCTCATTTGCAGCAGCGATATAATTTCTTGCAGGTTCGTTGAGACCATGGAGATTGTTATTTGATAAATTCAGCAATTTCAGGGAGATTTGTGTAGTTAAGTGTATATTAAAGTTGACTAACTTATTTCCACTCAGGTCCACAATCTGTGCAGAAGGAACATCCTTAAGAATATCATAAGGAATGTCTGCCAAGTTATTGTATGATAGGTCTAAATGTAGCAACTTTGAACAGTTCTCAAACAGTGAAAAATTGGAGCTTGGTTTAAACAACTGGACTCTGTTGTAGGCTAAATTTAGAACTTGTAAACTTTCAAAATAGCCATTTGCACATGTGAAAAAATCAGGTTCAATTTTACAATCATTGTTGTTGTAAATAAACTGCTGCAGATTAACCAATCCTTTCAAAGGACTCCCAAAGTAGATCACAGCATTGGAATAAGCAGCATTAAGAACCTTTAGCTTGTTTTCTGGTTGGAACTTGAATTCACAGGGAACTGATGCAGGTTGATTATCAATTGAAGCCCACTTAAGATCAAGTTCTTCAAGTCCAATTGGTAATGGCCATTCTGTATCTACACATTTGTGGATCCGAGGATAATCAAGGTTTTTAAAAACCCTTCTGTTTGAATAACCTAATCTTATCACTCTCAAATGAATCATTTTAAAAAACTGAATAACACCTGAAAAAGGAATTAATGCTCCTATCATGTTTTTTGTTAAATCTAGTATTTCCAGTTCTGGGAGATAATTTAGAAAACCTGTTTCTATTGCAGATATCTTATTATCGGACAAATATAATTCTTTCAGTTGGCAGTTTTTTAAATATGTGAAACCTTTTTCTCCTAATATAAATGGAATTGATGAGATGTGTTGGTAAGTTAATTTCTCAATGGTTGAGTTTTGAAGCCCTTTGAATGCATCGAGCCAAGCATCTCTCAAAATAGGTGATGCACTTCTTGTACGTGTATTTCCTGGATACACCTCAATGATTTGGATATTCCTTAAAGGTTTGAATACAAGAGGATGTACCATTGTATCTTTTGTAATGTAAAGTTTCTGAAGTTTGTCAAGTCCTTCAAATACATTTTCATTGAGATGCAACGCTGGAGAGTTGTATTGTATGTCCAAAGTCTGTAAATTTTTATAATATCTACCCAAGAAATAGTCGGGTAGCTTTCTTATACGGTTCCTGGATAAATTCAGCATTGTTATATTTTCTGGGAGATCCAAAGGTAGCGAATCAATATTCCTATTACTACAGTCTGCAATCTGCAAAGTACAGTTGCACTTCTGACACTGCTGACTTCTGATCTCCTCACTTGTTTCATTGTATTGGACCTCATATAAATCTCCATTCCCTGATTTGTCAACCCATCCTTTCACATTTATGAAACTTACTACCAGAAAAAACAGCATCAATGTCATTCTATCCATTATGAATGAGTTATGACTATCCAATGTTATCTAATACAGTTATCCACTGGTACATGTATGTTACACAGTTATCCACCGGTATGTTCTACAGTACAGTTATCCAGTGGTATGTTATACATTTATCCATTTGGTACATACTAGTTATCCAATGAAATCTAATACAGTTACCTATTTGTATGTTATACAGCTGTTTTCCACTGGTATGTTATACATATATCCACTGGTATGTTACATGTAGTTATCCATTGGTACATACTACAGTTATCCAATGAAATCTAATACAGTTATCTTCTGGTATGAAATACAGTTATCCACTGATAAGTTACACAGGTATCCAATGGTATGAACTACTTATTCACTGTTATCAGTTATCTGCTGGTAAGTTATTCACTTGTAGGGAACTTTTCTGATGGTTAAAGTGTCTTAATCATCAACTAAATCATTCCAACAAATATGTAATAAACAGTCAACATTTAAAATGCTTTTTATGTCCATACATCAACCAGGACGTTTATTCATACCAAATTTGTATTGAGTCACCACATAAAACACAAATTTTCTCATTGAGTTGTGTATTCTAAAAGTATTTGACATAAACACAATATAATCAATCAATGTAATAGGGTTGTTGTAAATCCAAACAGAGTCCCTATACAGACTAGTACTTGTCTTGGTTACTTTCAAAATTTATTTTGCTTATCTCCAAATTAAGAACTTTTAATGTTATGGATTTTAAAGAATTTGTCCCTCATACCCAAGTTATGAAACAGTCACTATAGGGGATTCAATTGTTAGCAGCCAGGATTGTTGAACTTTGTGTCATATTTAGTGTCAGTAAATTTTACTTCATGAAAAACAATAGGTTATCAACATATTAAAGGTTAGTATTCAGTTTATGCTCAAAAATAAATTTTGAAAATTACAGTGTCAATTTACAGTAGCCAAGTGTGAATCAGGAAGTTGCAACAACCCATAAACTCTCAATAAAATTAAAGAAACTGAAATGACCTCATCCTCAAACTAAATTTTTTTGACTTCCTTCAAATTCAGTTTTATGATGTATGTTTGGTACAATATTTATGTTAAGCTTGGCATATCAATATTGGTTCACCAACCAGGTAAACGTCACAAACACCTTTAACTTGAATAATTCTAGAACGCTGCAACTCCAGTAGTGAATCCCAAAACAAATCATATTTTATAAATACTTACTGTACCTATTCATTTTGAACATTACATGATAAAAATGACCAGGAAGTAGTAGAGTAGTATAGTCTCATTTTGGCAAAATCTACACCAATAATGTGACCTGTTAAAGGGTGACGCATATCGTTTAGCAAATCGAACGCTCGTTTCTGGTGTTGCTCACCATTTAGTATAAAAGGCCCGATCCCGGAATAATACTCAAGGGTTCACAGGTTTGAGGTCGTTGTGTCAACACCTCTAACTGTTATATAGCATAAGTATATTTTAGATCGTCACACATTTATAAAAGGGTGATTTTTATTTTGACAAATCAATTCCACATTTATGGGTGAAGTTTCAGGATCTTTTATTTGTGTACAATTAGGAAAAATTGGCATCTAAATTTCCCCATAACGTAATAGCACACAGCTTTGCATATGAAATATCCTACAAATGAAACAAAGCAAGACAAACCGGTTTCTAATACAAGGATTTATATTGGCTGTTGTACATGTATTCTTTGAACGCAATCACTCTTTGGATAACGTTTTCAAAATCATTATAAACGGATTACTTTATCTCAAAGACAATTTCAATAAACTGGATTTTACAGAACTCACCTTATTTCTTAAAAGTGGACTGATCCAGTTGATTCGACTGGAGCCGCCATATTGTTTTTATACGGGATGCTAATCGGAACCCTTTAAGGATTGATATTATATCAAATCTCAGAACATATTTTTATATATATTTTAATAAAGCAACGACTTGGAATTCAACAGTCAATTTCAAATAATGGTGGCCATTTTGAAAAGAATGATCATCTTGGAAATTCCTTCTGGAGCAGACTCATTATCCCTCAAGCATCAGCATGAAACATATCTGTCAACTGGTATTACATTTTTTATGAAAATGAGGGCCATTTTGAAATGAGTGACAGAAATTGCTAGACCAAATTCCATAAGTTGTATATAAGTTTATCAAAAACTTAAATTTATAGCAGAGGTCCTATGAGGCAAAAGCCTATAAAATTTGAACCATATCGGTCAACTCTTATTTCAATTATAATTCTGACAAACAAAATGGACAAAAGATGGATGAATGACTGGCTTCTCTATATCGCTACAAACATCATTTAAAGGGATAATAAGCCTAACATTTCTTTATACTTACTTGAAATAGGATATAACGCTCTGTCTTGAATGTACCAAAGTCCTCCCAAGTACATTTGAAGCCCTGGCATACTGAGTTAAAGAGGTCTGTAGTGAAAGTTGAGACCATTGCACAGAAAAAGATCTGCCAGGACAGCTTCATGTTCCAAAATGAGGAAACCTGGAAAAAAGAAATGTAGAGGTTCATGCATGAGACATGAAGAATGTCACTACCTGCCATTTTTACAGCTAAACACCAAACACCAAACATTGAATGCCAAACACCAAACCACCAATGCCTAACACCATCCACAAAAAAAGTTGGAAAATATCAAAAAAATATTGAAAACCAAGAAGCAAGAAATATGAAAATCAAAAAAAAAATTAAACTCAAAAAATGGAAATAGAAACCAGGGATGACCTGGAAAAGGACGATTCTCTGTTTGGAGAACAGTCTCCTGGGCTAATAATTTTTTTCATGAAAAATATAGAAATATTACCCAAATTAAACTATGAATATTCAAAAAAGGACATTTAAATCTACAAGATGTAAAAATAACAAATTGGTCTGAAGCAGGGATAATGCTCAATTAGACTGATTCAATAAAATACAAGTCTTGATTTTGGGGAAAGAAGTTCATCAGTGTACTGCGCTAATATTTTTTTGCGAAAAATCTAAAAATATTACCCAAATTAAATTAAGACTATTCAAAAGAAGACATTCAAATCTATATTATGTAAAAAAATCAAATTTGTCCGAAACAGGGATAATGCTCATTTAGATTGAAGAACTTTGTTCTCCAAACCGAGAATCGTCCTTTGAAAAGATCAATATACATCTAAGGTACATGTGAAAAATATGGAACAATGTAAAGAATAACCAAGGCATTGACATGCTAAGTGTCAACATCTGTAACGTTTGTTACAGATATCGAACCATGAACACCAAATGCCAAACATCGACCACAGAATGCTGACTGTCATCCAAAAAAAGTTGGAAACAATACAATATGTCATCACTTCTGGTAATAATAATATACCAATTGACACTTCAAATTTTAGTTGATTTAAAAAATAAATGTTTCAACACAAAAAAATGAGATTCTTACTGACCTCTTCCATTGAAAACAAGAGTCCCCCTACGGGAGCCCCAAATGCTGAAGCCACACCTGCCGCTGCCCCTGCACTGATGAAGTTGCGCCTGAAATATATGAACAAATCATTATTTGATGACTGCATATATGGTTCAGTATATATAACAAGGCATTAACATGCAAAATTTCATCACCTGCCAATTGTTACAGACACTGAACACCGAATGCTGAACACCAACCACAAAAAATGGCACACAGAAAAATGGTGGCCATTTTACAAAATGGCTGCCTACTCCCCAAAGTGTCATTAGAAAGTGTGCCATGCTTAAAGTATTCACAAATCAAATATGAACAAAATCGCTCCACTACTTTTCAAGTTTTTTTGAGTAAAAAACGTAAAAATGAGGGCCATTTTATTAGCATGTTCTTAGAGTGCTGTAACATCGTGACTATCAG